ATAGTGATCAGACGTTTTCCATTCAAACCTATATGCATATTGTCATATTGAATAAAATTGGTAAACGTGCGTTTTTTCCTGAATGTGATAAAACATATTACTGTCTGAGATTCATGGAAAATACAGTAGAATGTTCACTATATATAGAATCTGACTGACAAGATTCGCCTAAAATTCGAAAATAATGAACATTCAGGCCTACTTTGTATAGAAATAAGTTGAAAATAATAGTCATAAATCAAATCCAAGCGAAAGATGGCACACGAGTTGATGACGTCAGTTACTCGAATCGCTTGAACGCGATGGCTTAACCCCGGTTTTGTTGGAGGTTGTTTGTTTTAGAAAAGTGCGTATGTAATTTCAGATAACATATTTCTGGATATTTCTCAGCAAATTTTGAAATTCATGTCCTGAGCGATTGATGCTAAGTTGCATGGATTTATCATCAATTTAACATTTCTATTATATTTATTGACACAAAAAATACGATTAATTTATTAGCCTAAAAGTCATTCCCTCATCTCGTCCCTGGGTCCAAAATTAATAACAAAAAAATATATACAATCAAATTGAATATTACTAAAATATTTGGTAATAAGTATGGATTGTATAGTCAAGCTTTCATTGCTAGAAAATACATATGTTTATAAAAAATATATTCAAACATTATGTCACTTGAAACGAAATTATTCCCTCACCCATTATGAGTATTCGATTTGTGGTCACACCATTTGGTATTTTTGAAGGCAGCTGTTATGTTTTTAAAACTTGGCAATACTGCTAATAATGTCAGCATGGCGGAATTTCGTAAATGTGAAAAGAGTTACTACAAAAAAGTATTGGATTTCAATAATTAGAGCATTACATTTCTCTGTGTCATTGCCTCACTGTTTATATTAATAAGCAAGTCATTATATTGTTAGAATGTTTTAATGATTTTTTTTCTTTTTTTGGGGAGTAAAATGCATTCACAAAATGCTAAATCAATTTGATGTACTGTTGGTTACGGTGTCGTTTATGCAAATCCGTCATTCCACTATGGTCATTCCCTCACTATATATAGTGACAATTATATGAGGGAATGATTTTTGCATATATAAAAATAAGGTATGGGTGTTATTGTTCAACTCCAGGTTGTACAGCATGTGTTTTCAATTTTAACAGATATCCGTATACCAAGAATGGGGAAAATAAAGAAGTTAAGTGAAGAATAAAGCAAATTAAAAAAGAAGGAGTACGACAGAAAGAGGCGAGAACAAATGAAAAGTAATGCTGAGTCTTCAGAAGCTTTGCGTGAAAAAGAAAGATTAAAGCATTTAAAGAAGAAGAGTAAAAAGTCAAGTTAAGTCAGTAAGTTCTGAGTGCAAGAGAAGCTAACCAAAAACGAAAACAATGGAAAAAGAACAGTAAAGTTTATAGGGAAAAGCGAGTTACATTACAAACAAATTTACAGAGAGTAGTTAATGAAACACCTCCACACCAAGTCCTGCACCATCTTTACAGCACAGAGCAGAGACTTTATCTGCTCTCAATAGACGTAGAATGCACAAGCGGGAAGCAATTCTGTACGCGAAGATTAAGAGTTTGAAAAATAAAGTAAGGATCGCAGTCAAGCTTAGTGAAAAATACAAGAAGAAAACTAAAAATACTGTCCCAAACTCTCCAGCAACTAAAGTGTCTTCACTTTTAAAGAATATACAAGTTCCTGACGTTGTAAGAAAAAGACCCATTTTCGGAGAAGCACTGTCAACGGACCTCAAGAGCAACTATGAAGATCTTGGAAGTAAACATGGAGAGGAGAAAAAATATTACAAAATGTTGAAGCTGCAATTAGTGCAAAAATACAAATTGCTATATAGACTGAAACATTTTTTGAAAAACGGTCCGTACGAAAAGAACTGTACTCGTTAAGGGTGATATTAATGTCTTGGAGAAGGATGAAAATACGAGAATGTGGCTAGGGAAGGACTATGTAAGCTCTCTAAAGTATAAAACAGAGTTCAATACATCTACTAATAAATTACCTTATGTTTTTCATTGAAATTTAGCATCAAATTGTAAAAATCATTCCCCCATTATATCAGTAATTCCCTCATTTCATAGTTTTTTAAAAGTAATTTTTCTACACGTTGTACACAAAAATATGGAGGACCTTCATTTTAAATGAACCTCGCTAAAGTAAAACTTTATATTTCTGCAAAAGAAGGATATATGTATTTTCATTAATTTTTTTTTAAGAAATGCAAAATGGAATTTCTAAATTTGTTGAGAAATACCCTTTTATTGTTACTTAATAATCGGTGGTTTTTCGTCTAGAACAGTGATATGGAAAGTTTAAAAAGAAAACTTTCACAATATAAATGGATTTTGTTTTCAGAATATACTGTTCAGGTGTTAAATCACTTGAGAAAATTTCTCTAATTTTTAAACAAGTTTGTCGTGAAAATAAAATATGTGACGCCCAAAATTTTAATGGTGGCACCATGGCTTTGTTCTTTAATTCTTTAATTCTTAAAACTTAACCGCATGTCAAAGAAAACGTTTATTGATTTAACAGAAATGGCAGGAAAAAGCGATGAAAAAAGAGACCAGCAAAACCGTGTACAGGTGGACACTATCCAGTGAGTTTATATGGCCATATTGTAATATCTTTGAGGTATATGGCTGCACAGGATACTTTGTTAAGCATAGGAACTAGACTTAAAGTGTCCCTAACAACAGAAATGAGTATAACTAATAAGGTTCTCTACTTTATGCTAAAACTGAAGTCAGCCTGTGTCAAGTTTCCCAAGAATGAAGCTGAAGTGCAGCAAAAATATCCAATACCCGCCAAAATTCTAACTTGTCACATTTCAAATGATAATCAGAAATATAAAACTACTCCGGAGTTGGGTAAATACAATAATTTTACGATGACAACTATGACACATAACAGCTGTCACCGATCTTATAACGAAACTGATAACCACATTCGCTTGAACGGATCGGTAAATACCAATCCAAAATGGTAAATACAATTTTCATTTGGTTATTCGCTTGAATTTGATTCAAGTGCCTATACAAGGAGTATGTAAATACTTAAGTCTACAATAGTCTTTATAATATAGAGTTCTTTAACCTTGCTCTCAAAGAAGTAATACTGACCACCAGAAATTTTCGGAAAGCTAGTGAATGAGTACAGATCAGCTTATACAAAGGAGTATCAACAACTTGTGGATTATTCCCAGATAACATCACATTATGTAGATGCCACAAGTTGGGTTCACCTTGGATGAAAGCAAATTCACACATACTTTTGGGATTGTAGTCAAACTGTCCAATGCCTGATTTCTGACACTATATTGCAACAGAAGGGCAAATCAGAGTCTAGGCATAATTGTTACGTCATTCGAACTTGTATTTATGAACTACAGAATGTTCACTTGACAGAAACTGATGGCCTGAGGCTCCAGTCTACAAAACAAGGCAAGAAGTATCCATAGTATAACTATAGTGGAAAAATAATGAGTTCAGTTCTAAACTGATGAATGATCGGGCTAGGGTTAGCTTGCAATAGTTTGTAACATAACATAAAAAAATATTAACAGTATTTGCATAGGTTTGGTAAGAAAACATTGTAAAATTGACTGTACGCTTCCATTTTTCAATCTGCAAACTGATCAATATGTCGTGGTTGAAGAAATACATAACATGATTAATCCAAATTGAGGTTCTTTTAAAATTCGATGCTGTATCTTGTTGCAAACTTGGAAACGTGTTTGCATTTTACAGTAAGTCACCACAATATAGTCAATTCTACAATGTTCGTTATCGCATATATCGGTAACGTGTGAAGAACAACATGCACAGGTTTGAATGAAACAACCAAAATACCGTTTATTACCACATTTTCTCACTTCTATAAATATGTATGAAATGTGTGACATTATTTACAATCTTTCCATTCAATATCAGCTTTCGAGAGCAGATGGCAAGAAAGAGAAGTGTATGTAGAAAAGTATAGGTCATAGGTATATAGTAGTGTTACAGAGTATTTATACATGATCTTCTAACATCGAGTCAACAAAAAACAAAAAATGAACCAAATACATTTTTCTTCTAAACAAAAAATATATTTACACAAAAAAATCAAATGCCACCCCTACCAATTTACCCCTTTAAAAATCAACCAAAAAACAGGACAGTCGGTGTATAAGCTGAAATGTTTGAAATACAGAATGAAGATATTGCTCACGATATCCATTCAATTCCAATAAACCACATTTTTTAAAGATAAGTATATGAGAGTCTTTCATCACTAATTTTGGTTTCTGAAAATGATATGCAACAATTCCAAGTTATCCTTCGCAAAAGTACGTATGTACACAATTCGGAACCCAAGAATCGGAACAGTTCTCCTAAATGAAAACTGTCACAATAGCAAACGCGATGCAGTATATGACATACCTAGGGCCGAATGCGATATGTCTTGTCATTTAGGTGTGTTAGGGGAGCTGTCGGATACAGAATAAGGCAATGTTACCTGATTATCAATCAATCGGTTGTTTCAAAACTACTTAATTCACATTTTATTCCAAAATGTTTTTTTTTTTGGTCAAAATGCTTCCTTAAAGGTAGATGCCTATTTCAGGTAAAACCCACGCAAGGCAATAAATTCCTTCCCGCATAAAATACGTTCATTACAAAAGCGACATCTTGACTTATGCTACTCGACGGCATGGAGGGTACTTGGATTTGTTATTTTAAAAACAGCTCCAGGATTCTTGATTTGTTTTTTCATATTTATGTACTACAAGCACCGAAATGTCAACTTTACATTTAGCAACTGGAAATTTAAGGTTCCGGGCGGATATAATATCCACTTTGCTTTATTGGCTTGAGCCAGAAATTATTTACTCTTGACCTCAGTCATTATAAGCGATATCTTCATTCAATGTAAATGATAGGTGTTTATGTATAATGTCCATGGTAAGCTCTAAAGCGTCACACTTAAAACTCACCTGAATATAAAAATGAACAAAATTAGTAGCGAGAAAAATACTGCAACGTTATCCATCGTCCTTAGCATAACGAATAACTGTCTTCTTAGATTTGGCATAAACCGCACTAGTTTCAATATTCTCAGAAGTCTGAATGTCCTTAGCACTGACAGACCGGAGTCTGCATGCTCTTCACTAGTTACGTTTTTGAATAGCTCAATTGCACTAAAAAAAAAATAACAGGATATGTCTGAAGTGTCAAATCACATTTTCGAAAATGATTTAATGAGATTTAAAAGCTAAAATCATAGCTCACGTTGAAATTTGAACTATGCGTGTTTGTTGTGCTTGGCGAATATTCTACCGAGATAGAGATTTTAAATTATGCGCATAGTTTCTTTTGTGGGAAAACCTTTTATTCAGCAACAAAGAATGAGAAAACGTGTGTTTTGGGATTCAATCGAAAGTGTTGGCAGGATCGAAAAAACTTTTCATATAAGATTTTTAGGTATTCATGAGACCTACAAAATGGGATCACACGTGAAAAGATCTGACTAATAGCAAAAAAGTTATGACCGATAACCGATTCAAACTGCAGGCTTTTGCACTTGTTGGTAGTACGACGATGGTTTCTCGCAGATATTTGAAAATCTTCAAATTCGTGGGATTCGTACTTCTAAATAACCATAACAAAATTGGAGTAGATTGGTCAAGAAGTTTTTGAGAATTTCTAATAATTGCTTATCTCAAAACCCCTGTTTTCCGGGTTAGTTCAAAGGACATTTTATAGCAAAATACACTAGTTTAGTTTACCTTGATGATACGAATCGCAAACCATTTCGGAAAAAGAATGTTATTTTTATGCAAAAAAGGATGGGTTACGTTATTTCTTCAAAATCAAACATTTCGTATTTGTGAGTAATTCGCAAAAAAGGTGATAGACACATCCTCTATGATTTAAAATTCATCAATTAATTCATATACTAAGTGACATATAAATCCGAACACCCAGTTTAAATGGTTTTATTTTAATAAAAGTTGGTGAATGTATTTATCTTACTGTAAATAACAAGTGAAAAAATTTTCAACCTTATCAGTTGGACATTCCGGTTTTTATACTGCTTTTTTTTAATTCACTAACGCTCTGAAAATGAATATTTCAGCCGCAGTAAAGAATCAACGTTGGCGGATTTTGGTTCTTGACATCATTTACGATCGGTTACGATGCCTACAGTACGGAGACCTGTACGATTTCGTCAACTTAGTGAGTTTGATAGGGGCCGTATAGTGCGACTTCGGGAAGCTGGACTTTCTTTTCGGGCAATTGCAGTTAGAGTGCAAAGAAGTGTAGACACTGTGGTTAGGTGTTGTCAGGCATGTCTTCGAGAAGGCCGTACGCAAAGAGCAAGGGGCACTGGACGCCGCCGTAGAACAACAGACCGTGAAGATCGCCGCCTAAGATTATTGGCCTTCAGGGACCGATTATCCACTACCAGGTCCATTGCAAATGAATGGTTTGCAGAACACGGAATACCAATTGGCATGCGAAGTGTTTACCGACGGATGAGAAGTTTTGGCTTGTTTTCATACCGGCCACACTGGGTCCTCCCTTTAACTCGAGAACACCGACGTAATCGCCTTGAATGGTGCAGACAACGGTCACTCTGGGATCAGGAATGGAACAGTATTGTCTTTAGTGACGAGTCTCGATTTTGTTTAGGCATGCACGATGGTCATGCCAGGGTTAGAAGGCGACGTGGTGAAAGGAGGAATCCACAGTTTTTTGTTGAAAGACATGTTCATCACACTGTTGGAGTTATGGTTTGGGGTGCTATAGCTTATGGTTCCAGGTCACCTTTAATCTTCATCAGAGGTAACATGAACGCGCAGCGTTATATCCACGAAGTTCTAGAACCCCATCTTTTACCCTATCTTGACACCCTGGCAGATCCAACTTTCCAACAAGATAATGCCCGACCACATGTTGCAAGAGTCACAATAGACTTCTTTCAACATAATGATGTCACATTGTTACCATGGCCACCAAGATCTCCCGACTTATCCCCAATTGAGCACGTGTGGGATATGATGGGTAGGAGATTGCTCAATTTGCAACGTCCTCCTCAGACTCTAGAAGCACTTCGAGAGGAGTTGGTGGTTGCCTGGAATGAGATACCACAGGAGGACATTGACCACCTGATCAGAAGCATGCCTAGGCGCGTTGGAGAATGCGTAGCACATCAGGGTGCATCCACACATTATTAAAGGTTAAAGGGCTTTAAAGCAGTGCAATCATTTTGAAATTTTTATCATTTACTTATTATGCTTCATTAAGTACTTATACAAAATTTTATCAAAATAAAACCATTTAAACTGGGTGTTCGGATTTATATGTCACTTAGTATATTTTGCTATTAAATGCTCTTTGAACGAACCTTGTAAATTGCTCAATAAACAAGTAGTGATGGCCGGAAAGCAGGTGTTTCGGATAAACAATTAGAAATTCTCAAAAAACACCACACCAATATACTCCAATTTTGTTGTTGTTATTTAGAAGTATGAATCCTACGGATTGGAACAATTTCAAGTAGTTGCGTGAAATTATCACCGTATTACCAACACGTGCCAAAATCTCTATCAGTTTTTGGCCATAATTTGTTTGCCACTAGTCGGATCTTGTTACGTGTGGTCTCATTTTGTAGGTCTCAATAATACCTAACAATCTTAAAGAGTTTTTCTTTCCTGCCAACGCTTCGATTGAATCCCAAAGAAAAAAACGTTTTCTCATCCTTTGTTGTCTATTAAAATATTTTCCCACAAAAATTGGTGTACTCATGTTATGCGTCCATGTTTTAAATAACTTGCACCAATAAAACCAGACTTTACAATTATTTCAGGGAAATTTGCTAATATGATTAGACTGTCCCTGCAGTGTTTTCCTTACGTAGGTCATAGGAGACCTACCTCTTATCAGAATGGATTTTCGTTTTGGCAGTCTCAAGGTTAAGTGACCACTCTTCCTGCTCACATCCCTTATAGGAATGTAGCAAACAGAAGCTGTTATCTGGGCATAGACAACTACACCTTTGCTACTCCATCACTAAGACTTCTTCTGACTGAGGATTTTTCTATCGAAAAATGATGTATTATCTCATTTTTTATGAATATTTTGTGGGTGTCTGTTTTATAGCATAGTTGTCATTTTTCCGATGTGTAGAATTAAGAGGGGTTCTGAACCCAGAATATTCCTTTCACAAGATCTATTGCCATTCGATCAGCTGTGAAATTATCCTGGCATCCAGGCAACAGTTGTACTATTGCTGGTGGGTGCACACAAATGAAAATGCAGTGCTGTTCTTGGTGTAAGTTTGCAACGCTTAGTTAAAATTGCCTATCTGCTTAAGCTTGGGTTATATCTCGTCCAAATAATTGTATGTGTCTAACGACTGTAAGGCTCTAAAGTTGCTGAATGATTTTGTGTAGCTTTGTCTTAAAGAGCTGCCATACCCAGCTAGCATTTTTACAATAAGCACTGCCAAAAGTCGCTGAAACTTGTTTAGACGCACACACACATAGATTTGATGCCCATGACGTTTCTTGGTCAGTGCCTTACATTATGAGCACTTTGAAGGTAGCCTTCACATGAAAAATTACCAAAACTTGTCTTACCTTAATACTACTATGATGCCATCGAACACATTAAATCCGTTGGATATATATCCAAACGGCCCTTCTGCAATAATCTTTAGCAACATCTCCACAGCAAATATAATGGAGAATATAACGTTGGTCACTTCAACAGCATGTGTAAGTATCTCTGACTGTTTATGGTGCTCAATGCCCATGGAGAGCGTGTTAATCAGTATAGCCAACAGAATGCCATTGCGAAAAAACTTGTGTTCCACAAGGACCTTGATGTATCTTCTGATCAACTTGAAAAACCTAAATGTCCCTTTGATGATAAGGCAACAGATGATATAGCATCTAGATCGCTTTTCGTTTTTGTATTCGGACTCGCAGTGCCATAAGTCTTGGCAACAGGAAAAATCGTCTTCTGGAAGCTGTTGGATATAGAGGTCTTCCCCGGTTTTGTCGCTTCTCTTGCTAATACCTATGTAAAGTATTCATTAGTAGCAATAACCAAGTAGGCATTCTTATCAAAAATAAAAATAAATAAACGGCATTCAAATTAAACTCGAGTGGCCTCTAATGCATGGACTCTTACACGTTGGTCGGATGCGAATACCTAATGAGTTCCAACGGAGATAACATAGATATAACAAGAAGATTCGGGCTATTTTTAATATTTATTTTATTTCGAATACCAATATTTTGTACCCAAAAAGTATCTTTTGAGTATTTCTACAACGGATAGGAACTGATAAAGCCTCTCCTCCAAGGATTAAACGTGCAATTTAGCAACAAAAGTGTGCCTTATCATTTCTTGCGTGACGTAATACGTTTTCTCTACACCCCGGCATGTGAGTATACTTTTGTTAAATTTCCGTCAGATGTGGGAAAAGGAACCCTCATTTTTCACATTGAAAGTTTGAGATTGAATGCATGGTCATACTCTATCAGTATTCGGAATAAAAATCGCATCATACTGGCTGATTCCTGTGTGGCAAATGCAAAAATATAAATGAGTTCCCTCATAATGCACGAGTGAAATGGATGTACAGGGTTTGTCCGGAAAGTAATAGGACTCATTTTCTTCCGCCATGACTGTACTTCGGAGCGTGCGCGCACCGACTGGGTTCGGTAGAGGGCGTTCCTAGCTAACGAATGAGCGGCTGGTCAGTTGTCTCCGAGCAGTTGGAGAGTCAGGACAGGGATTTTCGCGCGACGTGTTTCTGTGAGTGGTGCAGCGTTCGTTAGAGCAGAGGTACGCGATTAAGTTCTGTGTGAAACAAGTAAATCTGCGACAGAGACGTTTGATGTGATGAAGCAGGCTTACACAGGTGTTGCTTTAGCAAGAAGTGGTGTGTTTCGGTGGCACCAGGCCTTTTTGGAGGGCCGGGAAGAGGTCGCTGATGAAGACCGTGCTGGAAGACCTTCGACTTCGACAAACACCGATAATGTCACTCGCGTGCGCAAAGTTTTGAACTCAGACCGTCGACTAAGTATTCGTTTAATTGCCCAGATGTTAAATTTACCAAAATCTGTGGTTCATGACATTGTGACACAGGATTTGAGCATGCGCAAGGTGTGCGCGAAGACGGTCCCAAAAGTGCTCACTGACGACCAGAAATTGCGGCGACTGGAAGTGTACCAAGAAAATGTGTGAAAGTGACCCCCAATTTTTGAATAACGTAATCACAGGTGACGAGTCGTGGATCTTTGAGTATGATCCCGAGACAAAGAGGCAATCTTCCGAGTGGCACACGACGGCGTCTCCTCGCCCAAAAAAGGGAAGAATGAGCAAATCCAAAGTGAAAACGATGCTCATTGTCTTTTTTGACATCAAAGGCATCGTCCACCATGAATTTGTCCCTCCTGGACAAACCGTCAACGCCAAGCTTTACGTGAAAGTGCTCAGGAGACTCAAACGAATGGTCAGTCGGGTCCGACAAGACATTGCAGCCGATTAGAAGTTGCACCACGACAACGCCCCGGCTCACACCGCCTTTCTTGTGAACAGCTACCTGACCAAGGCCGGCATCCCAACGCTTCCGCAGCTGCCCTACAGCCCAGTTGTGCCCCCCCCCGGACTTTTTTTTTGTTTCCTCGCCTGAAAAGGCCGAGGAAAGGCAAGCATTTTGAGACGACAGAGGGGATCCAAGCAGCATGCATCGCGGCTCTCAAGGCTATTCCGGAGAATGCCTTCCGTGACGCCTTCAATGCTTGGAAATCGCGCTGGCAGCGCTGCATCGACGCAGAAGGAGCCTATTTTGAAAGTTTTTATAGAATTGTAACGACTGGCTCAATAAATTTTATAAAGCGACTCAGTCCTATTACTTTCCGGACAAACCTTGTATATATCCCTACAAATAGTTATACAAAAATAAATCTGTAATTTTATGCCGGAGAAAGCTTGGTGGAGGATCACACTCCAGTTTTTACTTGGGACAATTGAGAGGTATGAATTATTGTGAACGCGTAGATTTTATAACGTTTTTGGGGTATTTTGTAATATCTGTCTTAGACAAATCCATGGCATTCAATTACCTTTTGATAGTGAGTTGAAAAACGTGTCCAACACTATTTGACCAGTGGGTAAAGCAGCATTAATGGCTCCCAGAGCTAGCAACTCTTGGCAAGTTAGTGTTTCGCCATTCATGAGCTCATTGCAGTCTTGTTGTATTTGTTGTTGAGTTTGTAGCAGTTGCTGTTGATTTGGCACCGATGTTACTTGCCAGATGTTGCCATCACCTGAAAATAACAAAATATTGTGTTGAAATCTGAAGTCATAGATCAGTTTTAATAAAATTATTATTATTGGTTATCTCGTCTTTTTCGTTTTTAATGGCTGCAATGATTATTGAAATATTTTTGCTGTAACCTCTCTGAATCGAATTTCAACAGCAGTGATTCATTGATCAACATGTTCCACTAGAAAATACCCAATCCAATTTAAAGTCGTGTCTCAGCCAAAATTAGCGTACGTACCGTGGTGCCGCCAACCACTTATACTTACAAGTGCAAATGTGTCGACCACCGTCTTTATGTGCCAGCGCTGTAATCTCTCGGATCGTTAAGATCTGCACTGTTAAAGGTAGAAAACTGGCATGCTATGGTTACATAATGAGGAACGATCGTTGAACTGCGCACGCTATGAGACCACAGAACCGTCAGCCTCCAGCGGGCACAGTGACGACTAGGCTATCAACGAGAACTGAGATCTTTACAATAACAACCGATAGCTGCTACACACCCGCGCAGCGGTCGATTCTGGTAGTAGATTTAGAGGAGTAATAAACATCGCATTCTTCAGGAAGAGGGCTGGGTAGACGGCGAATCTCATTTCAAAGAAATCTGAGACGGTGGACTGGTAAAGTATCAGTAGAACCACTCGGAGGCGCTGTCAATAGACTGATTTTGATCGGTTTTATATACTGAAATAATTTTGGCTGGCCTGAATTTACAATTTAATTTTGATCACAGTGCGAGGCGCGGCCTGGAATGTTTGCGAACTTGCTCGACTGTGTAGTCTACTGAATCACGCAACAGAGGGTAGCAGTGTGATTCCACTTGATTATAACGCCGCTGCGCCTGTTGTTTTACGTATTCCCTTAAATCTAGGATATCAAGATCTCTGTGAATAGTCTCATTTGACACGTACCAAGGGGCGTTAGTAATTGTGCGTAAGGTTCTGTTTTGCAGGACTTGCAGTCTCTGCATGGGCGTCTTGGCAAGAAAACACCAAGCCGCGCATGCGTAGGTGATTTTGGGTCTTTGACCATTTTATACAACCGAATCTTGTTGCTCAAACTTAATTTTGAATTTCTGCACAACAGAGGATAAAGCTGCCAAAAGGTAATTTGGAATTTTGTTTTCAAAATATCAGTATGTTTCTGCCAGGTCAACCCCTTGTCAATGATGACTCCAAGATACCTGACAGATGACAAATGCAGGTTGTCTATTGTACTTAGCCATTCAATGGCTGCGGAAAGATCGCCTGCAATGCCTGAGTGGCGCTAATCAGGGGAATTATTATTTGTTGAAGGGACCTAAGCGCAGTTGCTAGGTCCACATTCTGCGTGTTCATAGTGGGTTGAACAGAGGGGGCAACCGAAGATGTTGAGACTGCTGCTTCCGCGTATGAGTTGCTGCGTCTTTGCGCTATGACTTCCAGATTTCGCCTGGGGGTGAATCTGCAAGTGGGACTGTTAGCGGGATGCGCCCCTCCACAGTTCGCACACTTTCGCTCCTCTTGTCCTGTGAGGGGGCATAAATGTGTCATGTGATCGGAAGCACATTTTAAACATTTGGGAGGTGCTGTGCAGTGTGACTGCGCATGACCATACCTTTGGCAGCGGTGACACTGCCCAATAAGTCGAGAGTTCTTTTGAACGTCAACTCGGATTGCTGGACCCAGCAGCTCATGTTCATTGAACAGCTGCTGGGAATTTTCAATCTTGGGCAGTATCACGACCACCAAACGCATGGGTGCGCCGCCACTGCGTTTGAGTCGGATAATGTGGAGAGGAGTATATCCCCTCTGTTCTAATTCCCCTTTGATCTCCTGTTCCGAAAACATTGCGGGTATGCCTCTGACTATCGCGTGAATATTTCGTTCTGAAGGAAGAGGGAGCGTATGATGGGACACGTCCTCCTCCCTGAACAGGCGAACGATTCTTCGGTAGTCATCCTCAGTTTTCGGCAAAATCCTGATTCCCGCATCAACGGCAGCTGCGCCTGAGCTTATAAAGGTGTACTTTAGATGTCGCCACTTGGTCGCATCACGCAAAACAATAGGCGTGATTCGCCCCTGGCGGGGGACATTTGAGGTGTTCTTATATTTGTCTTGTCAGCACAACTAAAACTTTATTCTTTTTGGTTACTGCAGTCGGTTTTTTGTGTGTGTGCTTTCTACTAACTACTAGGCAGCACGGCTGTTATGATGGAAATCGTACATGAACGTCCAAATACAGCATACTAATAATATGTTAGCCAATAATTGATTCTTGAATACCATTACAGGTGTTATGGCGGAACAAATTAATTTCGTATTTTGACTGATCAGACCACGAACTGGTTGAAACCCAACGGTTCTGGTCAAAACTAAGAATAACCGACGTTCATCGTTGAAGTCCAACGTTCAAGTACAATGAAATAATAAAAATGCTATAAAAGTTTTCGTTCCAGTATTCTATCACGTCAAAACGGGAGTCGTGTAGACTCAGTCTGATCTTGTTGCTAAAACGCAGCAGTCGAAAATAAACTTTCCGGTTGCAACTGGAGTTTACCGAACACGAAAAACTCGAGTAATCTCAGCTTAAGTTTCAATCTACGCAGACTGAAAGGTTAAGCGGCTTTGCGGGAGGAAGTTATAAATTAGAGACGAAGAAGGGAAATACTAAATAAGAAGATAAGGGAGTATTTAAAACGATGGAGACGGATCTGCTTACTGTTGAATATAGACACTCATTCATTTCTCTTATAGGTTTGTTTCTTAACAACGGTAGGTATTGTAATGTCACAAGATATACAATTTTTAACTCTCCATCATATAGGGTTATTTAAAAGACAATGGCAATTTTCTGAACATATCATGATACAGGGTCTTTTTTCCCCGCCACTGTACTGATGCGATGATGATTATGGACAAATCATGAATATTTTTCAAATAATGCTGTAGTGAGTTAGGATCAATTTCCTAATATATTACGTCTAATTTCCAATGTTAAACTTCATTACCGGTTTTGAGTCATTGTCCTGTGAATAGCGTAGAGCTGCCGAACTTTCGTTCGTTGTTCATCGAGAGCAAGCCTACCCCATGCTGAAGAGTTGCCACATAGCACAAAAGATCTGTCCATGGTTGGCTGCCAGTGGTCGGTCGGGCGAAGGTAATATTACTAGTTTGTTCAATGCGAGCCGACCGTATCTACTACAGCACCAGAATCGGCGGCATCTAGCGGCCACAGTGGTGATCCGGCTGACAGTGGGAACTGGCATACAGTCCCAACAGTCAGCTTGCTGTTTTCACTTTCGCAGTGGTCGATTCTGACAATAGACGGTACTTTGTGCGGTCTTATTTAGATAGATCTTATATACCTGTATGTATGTCACTTCGAATACTCAAACAAACCTTTTCCCAAAAGGAGTGGTCTGGCAAACATTTCTCAAATGAAACAATCAGTGGAAGATGAAATATCTTACCAAAATTGCTAAAATTACATTCTTTTAAAAAACTGCAACAATTACATAAGATAATAATATATAAAAACAAAAGTTGCATCTCTAAGCATTTCCATGAAAAGGTCCTTTGACTTTCTTCTAATCATCTTCAAATTACAACTAGGACTTATATCATTATTTAGTTTCAGATTCAAGTAATCCCTTCTGAAATATTGATTTTCTAGTTATACTACTATTGCAATTTTGTAAATGGAAATCTGGATTTTCTCTTGTATGTAGTGCAGTGATTGTTGTGACAAAAGTTGATTTTCTATTTTAAATATGAAGGTAAGACACAAATATGATATAAAGTTTTTTATTTACAACCACTGCAATTCTTGAAACATATATTTGATTTTGGTGTACCTACTTATTTTTATTCAATAATATTCTCATAGCTTTATTTTGTAGGACTTGTAATTTTAAGAATACGACTTCATTGGCAGTGAACAAGATAGTTGAACAATATAGTGAATTCGGTAGAATAATTGTTTTATAAAGTATTATTTTTTGTACTAAGATTACAATTAAAGTAAAGTAAAAAAGTAAAAGTAATATATTTTATTGTCAATTTTTGAAATAATGTATGCATAGTGATCCTCAAACTTCACTTTACTGATACACCCAAATATTTAACTGATCCAACTTTATCAATTATTTCACCATTCATCCTATCTGTGATAGTATTTTCATTTAATTATTTCCCTATTAGCATATTAATTTAGTTTATTTACATTTAACCAATTTATGGTTTTTACTGAGTAAGAATTTAGCATCTTTAAAGGAGCTTCATCTGTATTAATGCATCATCTACAAAATCTATATTTTACAATAATCTAAAGTATCAAAGACGTCATTATTGTATAAAATAAATAGTGGTGGACCTAGTTTACAACTTTGCGGTACACTAACAGAAATATTTTTAGAGCTTAATGGTGTTGATCCAATTTTTGCTTTTTCACTTCTGTCAACAAAGTAGTTTTGTGAAATGTTGATTAGAATATGCAATTACAGGGTGAATTCAACTGATGGCATACACAATGAAAAATACTGACTTTCAGTGGTTGTGTCAGGGTGTATGTTGTCACACATACCTTCATACACTCTCCGCTTCGTTCATCATCGTATGAATTTTACATCCAATTCAGATTCCCTCTCATTAAGATCCTTGCTGGTGGAAAATGTGGCATAAAAAATGAGTATCGAATTAAAACATATATCTTACCTGCTTGAGTAGTCTTTTCACTTGAGCATACATTTTTCTTGTCAATGTTGGTATTGGTAGCTAGAAGATTTGAAGAAGAAGACGGAGGTGATACGTTTTGACCATGAAGCATGATGATGTCACTGAACATCACCGACGACCTCCTCCTATTGTTTGGCACTGTACTAGGAGACAATAGATTTGTAGGACTCTGGAAAATGGAAGTAATACATTGCTATTAAATATCTGAAAACAAAAATTTTGAAAATTTTTGCATCCATAAGATTCAAAAATATCACGCTACCAATATAATTGTTGCGCAAAATATGGCATAGACCCTATATCGAGCCTCAGATCGACTTTAGTATTTTTCGTACGTAAATCGTTGGAGCCTCTAAGCGAGCAATATTTTTGTTGCAATATTTGCAACCCGGCCAGCAGGCACAATATGGCCCCGTATATACTTCGGCTTTATCTTGGCAATATTATTTGTACTATATAGTCATGCCCTATCTCATCAGCAGCGCTACAAAATTAGGCAAGGATGACTAGCGAAATTGTCAGCGTCGTGGCAGCTTATACAGGGTGATCCGTAAGTCTTGACCAAAAATGAAACATCATACACAGGACCGCATTTTGAGGGAGGTCTTTTATGTAACATTTTTTCCTCGAGGCCTTCATTAAAAAGATACGTGGTGTTGAAGTTTAAATAAAAAACATTTTTTTAATATCTTCAAAACCGTCAACTGGAATGAACTAAAATTTGGTAGTGGATTTACCTAAGTATTGTCCACATTCAAAAGTCTTTACTTATCGTGTATCAGTGGCGCAGATACAGGAGATTAGTGGCATTATTTTTCCAAATAAAAATAGTACGCCTCTGTATTTTTACACTCTTCATGAATGATCCAATTTGCTTTATTTTTACGAAAACAGTGCACTCTAGGAAAAAAACGCAGGAGTTATTATTTGTAGCAAATTGAAGGTCAAATTCGAAAAATTGCGCGTTTGAAAAAAAAGTGGCGTACTATTTTTATTTGGAAAAATAATGCCACTAGTCCCCTGTATCTCCGCGACTGGTGCACGTTAATCTTAAGTAAAGACTGTTGAATGTGGACCATACTTGGGTAAATCCACATACCAAATTTTAGTTCACTCGAGTTGACGGTTTTGAAGATATTAAAAAATTGTTTTTTATTTTTAAACTTCAACACCCCGTATCTTTTTAAAGAAGTTCTCTTGGAAAAATGGTCCATAGACGACCCCCCTTAAAATGCGGTCCTGTGTATAACGTTTCACTTTTGGTCACGACTTGTGAATCACTGTGTAAAGCAGGAAATGTCAATACTGCGTATGAGTATAGCCAGGCTATACTCAAAATATTGCCGTATATTGTATGGCTACTTTGTTGCAGGTAGGCAATGCAGAAAACATATTGCCTGTTTAGAGGTTCTATTATATGAGGTTGATCAAAAAATAAGGTCGACAAGAAGTTCTGTCCGCACGGAAAGGTGCGAGGCTAAATCCGGCAACACTCTACAAATGCGGTTCCCTCACTAGGTTCCCATGGCTGCGCTTCTATCCGCCGCTCATTGTTGGCTCAGCCAATATTGAGGCTCTCATTGTTGGTCTCGCAAATTGCCAGATTTGCCAATTTCTTTAAAAGTCTCAAACATATACGGAAGGATTGTTGGACTCCATTATTAATGGATGCTTAATTCCACCCCGAAACGAATCAAAAATATAAACAGTCGAGTCATTTACGATCACCAGTCGCAATAAAGTTCGAACCTGGCAAAGCTATTACTAGCATTTTTTTGGATTTATAAGGCCGATTCAGACAGACCTCACCCGTCAAACAAATGAATTTTTGGCAAACTTTGTGTGGACTTGAGTTGCCACGACGATGAAGTCAAAGAAGAAGTGAAACGCTTCCCTCAACGGGTTCAGCAACACTGGGTGCAGAAATTGGAGTACCGTCTACAAAAATGCACAGACAAAGATGGCGATTACGTCGGGAAATAGATCAAAGTTTTATCTTCCCAATTGTGTAAATTTTAAATTTCAATATTGTCTATTTCGAAAATTGATAGGAACCATATTTCTGGATAAACCCTCGTAATAGAGGGTTTTGCCAATCAGAAGGTTAATATTATCCTCATATCTGCAAAAGGTTGTGAAATCTCGAAATTGGAGATACTACAGACCACAATATGTGAATTGACCTAAACATACCTTAGTCTAAAAGTTGATAGTATGCGAGCTACAGGGTGTCAAAGTTACAATTTTGTCTTCTATTTTTCCTTATATATATATATATATATAATCCGTTATTTTTTATGACCATTTTAGAGGGCGCCACTTCCAGCACTATGTTGGTAAATAAGTTATCATAACTTTTTTGTGCTACCCTGTATACAACAGCTGACTTTCTCGTATTTCCACAACAAAAAAGGTTTACTTGCTAGCAGAGTCTAGTCTAGCTAATAGTTTTCGAGATATTTGCTTTTAAAAGTTACAATTCATTATTTGTACCATGATGATAAAACATTTTTATAACATCATAATCAAGTTGTTTTGCATAAAATTATTCATGAAGCTTGAAACAATACTATGGCAACTATGGTAGCCATAGCAACGTTACTCAGATATTATCCAACGCAACTTGATTATTATGTTATAAAAATATTTTATCATCATGGTACAAACAATGCATAGGAACTTTTAAAACAAATATCTCTACTTGGACACTTCTAACAAGTAAACCTTTTTTGTTGTGGAAATACGAAAAAATAAGATTTTTCGGTCAGTTGTTGTATACAGGGTAGCACAAAATGGTTATAATAAGTTATTTACCGAAATAGTGCTGTAAGTGGCGCCCTATAGAAGCTTGGCCATAAAAAATAACGGATTCTTGTTTCTCAAACTAGGAAACTTCCCTATACCGAGTTTTATGCGAAAATGTGAAATACTTCTCAAGCAATAAGGAAAAATAGAAAATAAAATTGTAACTTTAACACCCTGTATCTCGCAAGCTATCAACTTGTGGACTAAGGTATGTTGAGGTCAATTCACATATTTTGGTCTGTAGTATCTCCAGCTTCGAGATTTCCCAACCTTTCGCAAACACCCTTTATATACGGGATGTATGAAAAACCGTCAGAAACTGCATAACAAAACAGTAACAAGCTGCGATAAGATAAATCTTGTCGACGAAACTACGAAACCAAAACATAAAGAGCTTGACGATGATGTGAATAGCCCCTTCCACAGTGACGACGACTTTATTGAGGATGAGGTTACTAAAGACGTTATTAACCACACTGATCAAATGGATCTTAATCCGACGCACTTACTGTTAAACATATAATCTTTCAATGTAGACAAATATAACGAGTGATCATTTTGTCTGTTTAAAGGAAGCTTGAGCTGTGATTGATTTGATTGAGAAATTTATGATAGACAATTTGATATTTATCTAGTCATTTTTGTTGGACAAAGTAGAAAGGAGGAAATAAACATATGCACATCACATCTAGTTCCATTTCCCTTTCCCAACATTTTTATAACATAATAATCAAATTTCTTTGGATAATATCTGAGTACCGTTGCTATGGTTTCTAATGTTTGTCATAATATTGCTTTAAACTTGATGAATTATTTTATGTTGACAATAAGTTGTTCAACATCATGGAGTATGCGTTTGATGAATATTCTGATATGCATTTCATATACGGATTGGCAAGATGCAATGCTTCGAAAGCACAAAGATTGTACGCTGACAGATTCCCTAACAGACATCTGCCTAATTCAAAGACTTTCCAACGAATCCAGCGGTTACGAGAAACTGGTAAGAAATGATTGTAGCCTTTATTTGCAGTAGTAAAAACCATTTGGATTTTAGGTAGTTTAGCTCAAAATATGGGCCGACATAGTGGAACTCCCAGAACTGTACGTACAGTGTAGTGGTTCAGTGAGGTGCGCGGCAACTCGGCAACGTGGACGAAATTGTGGTACATTGAGCGAGGGGGTAGTTGCCCTTCGCCGCCGAGAGAGGCAACAGGTGACGTGACCATCTTCCGGATTTAAGGATTACCGGGTTCCATGTTTTTTTTAGTTAGTGAATTATTTTTTGCCTTACTACCATTAAAGTTTGTTAGCCATATTGCCGTCGTTATTACTGAAACCCACGAAAAACCCTGAGTAATAGTATGTAAGCTCGGATCCACTTCAACAGCTGAAGTTGAAGAAAATGTTTTAGATACTACAGTCGGGGTTAGGAATGTAGCTCGAGAATTTCAAGATTCCAAATGTACAGTAAATACAATTTTTCAAGAGCAACTGCTCCATCCACACTACCTACAAAAAGTACATGGTTGAAGCGGGGATGAGGGGCCAGGGTAGAATTTTGTACATGGCTCTTAAGGAAGCGTAACCACGACAATGGTTGTACTTCGTTATTATTTTCGGACGAAGCAGGATTTGGAAGGGATGAGCCCACTAACTCGCATAATCTTCAGCAGAAATAATTGGACAATACATGTATTTAATAGGACCCGTTGAGTAACCACCTAGACTTAGGCCCGTATCGTCCGTCGTCTCTACAATTGTAGGGCGCGTTAATGGCCTCCTTGATTGTCATACTCTTTTCTCTCCCTCAAACATTTCAGCGCTCTCCTATTGTTAAGATATGCTTTCCTTTTAAATTGTAGGAAATTTCAGGCTGATAAAACATGATATAACTCAAAAGCAAGCACAATTTGATGCAAATAGATGTTTGTGACATAACTTCAAAATAGAGCTCTGACACGGAGACGTAGAAAACTATGACAATCATGGAGGCAATAAATGCGCCCTACAATTGTAGGGACGACTGACGATACAGGCCTAAATGGCCAAAGGTATTTACAATTTCTTGAAGAATAATTACCCACTCTGCTGGAAGATCTTCCATTACAAACACGCATGGATATGTGGTTTATGCACGACGGCGCTCCACCTCATTTTAGTATATTAGTTGGAGAGCACCTAAATAGGGTTTATCCAGTCCAGTGGTTGGGCCGATCAGGACATATATCGTGGCCGGCTAGATCACCAGATTTAAATCCTATGGATTTCTTCTTCTGGGGTGATTTAAAACGCTACGTTTACAATACGCTAGTGGAAACTATAGATGATCTTTGACAAAGAATTTTCCACCATACCCAATGAAAAATAACATCCAAATGGTTTGGAGAGTGCAGCACGGATTAGTTCGTCAAGCACGAGAGTGAGTTAGGCAAGGTGGTGGTCATTTTAGACAATTTTTGTAATGATTATTCCCGATTATTAGTTTTGTTGCCAGCCTCATTTGTTATTGTTAACAACCATAGCAGCGCTACTCAGATATTATCCAAAGCAACTTGATTATTATGTTATAAAAATGTTTTATCATCATGGTACAAATAATGCATTGGAACTTTTAAAAACACATATCTCGGAAATAAGAGAAAATTAGATGTTTCGGTAGTTGTTGAATACAGGGTAGCACAAAAAAGTTATGATAAGTTATTTACCGAAATAGTACTGTAAGTGGCGCCCTCTAGAAGTTTGACCATGAAAAATAGCGGATTCTTGTTCCTCGTACCAGAAAAGCTCCCTATACCGAGTTTTATGCCAAAATCCGAATGAATCTCAAGCAATAAGGAAAAATGGAAAATAAAATTGTAACTTTGACACTCTGTATCTCGCAAACTATCAACTTTGGGACTGAGGTATGTTTAGGTCAGTTCACATATTTCGGTCAGTAATATCTCCCGTTTCGAGATTTCCCAACTTTTTTTTAATGTCAAAAAGGCTAACGTTAAGTCTAGGGATGCGGTGCCTGTGAATAGCCAAACTATCTAATACTAAACTCATATTACCTACTCTTTAGTAATTACCTATGAGTCTTCCTTTTTTTGAAACTTCCGCAAAACACTGTAAATTTTATGGATTTTTGTAATATTCTAGATTCAAAATAATGTATCCGATTAGGTTAGAACAGGGGTCAGCATCTATGCATAATACAGAAAGTGTATTTGTATACAGGGTGTTCATTTGAAAACTTCACACCACGGATCTATCAAAAATCACTGATTAAAAGAAAAAACGCCGTCCCACGTCAAAAGATTTGTCAAGGGGGACAACTTTTTAACCAAAAACACACGAAAATATCACTTTTTATTTCAATAGGTGTTCAAAATGTTGCCCGTTATTGGCCAAACAATGTTATAGGCGATGTTCAAATTCCTGACGGACATTTTGAAAAACATGTTGTGCGAAATCATGACAGCTTTTGATGATGCGTTGACGAAGTTCATGCAAACTTTCAGGTTGGGGAGTAAACACAATAGATTTTAAGTGGCCCCATAGAAAAAAGTCTAATGTCATCAAATCAGGAGATTTCTTTAGACCCTCTTCGCCCTATCCATTTATCTGGAAACTCGTCGTCTAGCCATTGCCGAATCAGAAGAACATAGTGAGGAGGAGCGCCGTCTTGCTGGGAATATATTTCAGCCTCATCAAGTATAGGGTTTCCATCTTCTTCGATTTGGTTTACAAATGTTTCAGTGATAAGCGGATTGATGATATTTTCCAACATATCCAAAGAAATGTCCCCGTTCAAATTTCCATTCATAAACAATCTCCCATTCACTTTGTTTCCTAAAATACCTGCCCATATATTGAATTTTTTGGGGTACTGGCCATGCCCTCCTACAGAAGCATGAGGAATTTCATTGCTCCAATACCAGCAGTCATGCTTATTATAAACAAATCCATTTAGATAAAATGTGTATTCATCACTGAAGCAGATATTCTTTACAGGAATGGTATTATCATTAAACGCTGCAGTCATTTGTTCACAAAACTCAACTCGCCTATCGAAATCATCTTCGGTTAATTCCTGCAATATTTTCATTTTGAGTGGATGAAATTGATGCAGCTTAGTAACTGTGTATACAGAGCCTTATGAAATACCACTCGCAGCAACAATTTCGCGTAATGAAGGTTTCGGCTAGCGTGTAAACCATTTGGGAAGTGAAATCTGAATCAATAAATTAATTTTCACTATTACAAGATTGTCACAAAGGTATCTGACAGCAAATTAAATTCTTTCTTTTCCGTAGCCACAAATAACTAAATAGGTATAACAATAAATACAGTTCGCCCAGGATTGTGTTGATAAGAATGCGGAAAAAATTTGGGTTGTTATATGGTTGTTGTTACGTCTAATCTTCCGAATTGCTGTTTATGTTGGTAGTTTCCATTTTAAATTACGAGTATAAACGAATTGTAGATTTGACAAACTTTAGCGGGCAACATTTTGAACACTTATTGAAATAAAAAGTGATATTTTCGTGTGTTTTTGTTTTCTATCTGAACACGTTAAGATAAATAAAGATTTTTCTAATTTTCTGAAAAACGAATCGACTGACTTTAAAAAATAAAACGTCAAAATAAAACACTTCGAAAGACCCTTCAAGCAAGCTATTACTCAATACCCCTTGTCGTTTAAAATTTTTAAGGGAATGACCCTAGGAGGCCGAGGGTGAAAGAGGGTGGTAGATTTTGGTTAAAAAGTTGTCCCTCTTGACAAATCTTTTGACGTGTCTCGCACTTGAAACTCATCCTGTGGTTTTCTCGCTGATAGGAAATGTGGTTGCATTTAGCGGACAGATAATAATGGAGTCCTTTCTAATATTTTCCTAGTTTAGTAAGGCGATCTGGTTGTGTCGATGATTTTAATAAGGAAATTGACTGTTTTCTTATACTACCAATATTAAGCTTATAAACTTACATCATTATTATTGAGCGATGGTATGTCCGTGTTGGAAGCAGAAGGAACTCTGAGCAGACTGGGCCTCTTTGGTATGACCACCAGCTCCAGATCTTCGTTTTTTTGGACGTTTTCGCTTACCGAACTCGTTCTTGAGACATTCCTTGTACTTGGTGCGCTTTGTGATTGTTGCTAGAATGGGGAAGGTTGAGTTAAGACAAGATCTTTCATCATCAGAGATAAAGCGTAACACATGGTGTGAATTAAGCGCAATGATTCCTTCGAATTTCATAAAATTTATTAACAAAAATCACCATTTGAAAGCTGCCAACAATCATGCAGCTTTCTTAACTAATTAACACAGCGATCATACTTGATTCTTTTACACTACATTGCTTAAAAGTCAGATGTGAGAACGGTCTTCGTAAAAATTTAGAATTTGGTATATTTCTTATGTGAGTTTCTTATCATCTTGAGAAAAGATTCTGAGTGGTTTAAAACAAACCTGGTCCAAAAAGGTTGTTATTTGTAGGTATGCCGCATGATTAACTGAATGTAAACTAGTTTTTCAACGGAAAGATCAAATGCAGAAAATCTCGAAAGCTATAAGACTCTTGATAAACAAAAATTTTACAGTTCCAGTATCTTACTTCAACTTTTGGACACCCGGTATGTTGGGGTCTATATCTATAACGTTAATTATAGTAAGAATTAATCATGTAAAAGCTTATTAAGCCTTTTATTCAAATAAGTCATGACACGAGTTATCTCGTACTTGACTTTTGTAACAGACATCTTTTCACGGAAGCCAACTACGAGATAATGTGCACAACACGTTCCAACCTTTTTTGAATGTACTTTGTACACATTGATGGTTTCTGATCTCTTAACCCAATCCTGATTTTTTCTTTTTCTTTCCAGAGGCTAAATATTCATATTCACGCTGTCATCGTATGACCTTTGTCGTAGCTGTGCAAAGAAGCTATGACTTATCTCGAAAGGGGCAGACAACGTCATATCAATTGTACGTTGGATTTTCAAATATATCACCACAGTCTTACTATTGTTTAGTATTAACCAACCTCTTTGGCACAGAGAAGAGAATTTATTCAATGCAATGAATTGTGGTGTGAAGGTGATTTTCATTTTCAGCACGCACAGTTATTGTGCTATCATGTGTTGTCATCGGTTGTATTCCTGGTAAATCTCCATATTGTTCTGACATTATGCCATATATGTGGAACTAAATACTTTGCTCTCGACTGACTCGACTCGGTTTTTATGAGAGTAATAACAATGTGAAGGCTATAATAAACGAAATAATGAAGCTCAGTGAATTCAAAAGCAAAACATCAAGAGGAATCGGTTTTTACTTCTGAGATCCAATTAACAAGATTCTTATAGAAGCTAAAAGCTGGCCCGAGCTTAAATAACCAAGTCAGAGACTCTAGCGGGCCACAGCCTGCACGCCGGCCGTTTTGTAAATTATGATGTATTCTTCTAATTAAGAAATAAATTGTGAGCTGGGGTGGCGCGAACATTATTTATTTAAACTACAGGCTCCAGAGGCCGCCACAATCGCTGTTGGGAGAAAGGGGATAATTATTCATTTTTTTGTTGCAGCAACGGTTAGAGAATATGTCAAAGGCGACTAAGCTCTTGCGAAATGCAAATCTAGGTGCTCTGTTTATCGTTGAACATTGACATCATAACCCAGAAACATGTTGGAGGTTTTTGCAAGAGGCTGTCGTGAAGGCAAAGCGAACGCTATAACGATGATATAAATATACAGGGTGTTTCAAAAAGACGTGTCAATATTTCTACGGTAGAAGGTACATTAAAAAATTTCTATAAATATGGGTCCAAAAATGCTCCCTTATCAAGATACCGGGTGATGAAGTTATACTTACGAAATTGAAAAAAAAAATATCTACGGAGCATTTAAGAATACTAAATAAAATATTTTTTTTGTCACTGGCCTGTTCTGAGAAAACAAGTGCATTTTATAAAATACCATTCGATTTACCGTGAATTTTGACTTTTAAGGAATTTCTGTCAGATCACTTGTTTTGGAGATATTTAGGTATGAGTATTTGAGGTAAAATTCTAAAGTATTCTCATGAACATTACAATATTAATTGGATAATATGCGTGTCTTATCCTCAATCAGTAGCGTAGAAGCTTACCATCCATTAAGCCTTGTCTTTGTGGGCACGGGCTTGTGTCGAATCCAGAATTCACTTTCAACACCTTCTTTAGATTGGGTATTTATTCAGCGTTATTTTTTGTTCCCAATGTGTTCTCATAAATGTAGAAATAACCATATAAGTTGTATCAAATGCAATGTTTATTGTTATGTGGTTTAATTCTTATTAGATTTATTTATTTTTGGAAGAGACTTTCCTTTGTTTTGAAGTTTCTTTGTCTATAAACAAACAAATATGCCGGCAAAACCAGTGGCGTGCACAGGAAAGGTTTAATGGATACTCATTCGATACTGAGGTTAAGACACGCATATTATTCAATTAATGATGTAATGAGGTGCTATATCTTTCTTCACATGCCATATAGTGTTTGTGTTTCCAATATCAAGCTTCACGGTGCTTCCAGAACACGGGAGGCTAAACCTTTCCATAAGAATATTTTAGGATTTTACCTCAAATATTCAAACATAATTATCTCCAAATCAAGTGATCTGACATATTATCCTTAAGAGAATGGGAATGGAAAATTGAATGGTATTTTTTAAAATCTATTACTTTTCTCCGTAAAGGCCAGTGGCGTAAAAAATATCTTCTACTAGTGATGCAGGTCCCCTGGTTTCTATGTTCCTGGTTTAGTTTCGGCCGGAGAGCTCTGTGTGTTTATTGCTTGTGATGAGTTCACTGAACGTCCAAAATCTTAACTCAGTAATAAAACTTCACTACCTTGTATCGCGGCAGGAGAGCGTCTTTGGACTCATATTTATAGGAACTTTTTTTGTTATTTTTGAATGTACTTCCTAGTCTTGTGAAGAGTTTGTGGAGCCATATCGCCAAACGCCTGTCGGTGCGAAAGCGAAAGGGTCCCAAAACTGTGTTCTTGATCAGTCTAACAGCCCTCCTCTGAACAGCATCGAGTATGGACCCCGTAGTCGGAGCAGCAGAAACTCAAACATGTGAGCAGTATTCGCGGTTAGATCTTATCTGGATCTTATACAGCGTGAGCAGGTTGTGTAGAGAACAGCTCGAATCAAATAACGTCAACTGTTGCAGTTGACGGGCTTTGTTCATTCCAAATCAAGTTCTCGGTGATCTGGAGTCTGAACAGTCGAAATTAATGACTCTTTCGAGTGAAGAAGTACAGTGACAAAAAATACTTCTTAGCCATGCATCTTGGGGATCCCGAGACGCTGCCTGGGTTTGAATGGAACTTCGTCATTCTATCCCTATGATGCTCTATTGAAATATTAATAAATTAGAAATTGATTCCATTATTATCTCATCTCACATCCTATCGAAAGGTTACGTCAGCGATCTGAGCCGTGACGTTACTGCCTCGGAGGGAACCGTGAAAGGGATCTCCTACAGCTACGATAATTTTTATATGTTCATGATATCGTTAAGGTTATTTCAAATTCATGAAAGATGAGTTAGTTGCATTTTTGACTAGATGAAACTTCCCTAGAAGACTCATTTTGAATACTTACATTTTGGCGAATCTTTGGGCAATTTGGATGATGCCTTCTGGCATAATTCAGCCTTATCGTTTCCCCGATTGCTATTTTCTTTTCTCTTCTTTGGTCCCTTCTTACCCTATATAACCTAATTTTCTTCAACAGTCTTCTTTTACTTCTCCTCCACAGATGTGCAATGTACTAGAAAAAAACAGAAATATTCTTTTCAAATAGCGGATTATCAAGATTTGTTGGAATTGTTGATATTAACAAACTAGTTATATAGCTTTCGTGCATCTGACCACAGACGGCTAACCAAGGACAGCTGGTTCGTGCTATTTGGAAACTCTTCAGAGAGGTTTTGTCTCGGTGGACAATGCATGAAAGTTGATCAACTTTACTCTATTCAGAGTATATAGCACTAAGACACAGAGATGTTGGCAGGTCTAGTGAAATTTCACTAGATCTAGTGATTTAGTGAAAACTTCTGTTAAATGTCATATTTCTAGTAATTTTTTGAAAGGTTTGTGGCGAACAAAAAAAAATTGAAAAATACTATGAGAAAATATAGAAATGCATCCAAAAGTTGGTAAGAAGCGTATACAATTATATGCATCGCAGTTTTGAAAGATTTTCGGAATTTCAAGGATTTCAACCATGTTTTAACATCAAACCCCACAAATTATTGCATTCATCACAGATCAGGTGACTGTCACTGATTTCCGCTGTAAGTAGAATTATTGAGCTATATGATGCTCTAGAGATTTATTTTAGAATTGAAACATTAGATGAAGCTTCACTAGCAGCGGAAATCCATGACATGCTTAATAATAAATTAAATAAACTATACCTTCTTTTTTTGCAATTTATATTACTCACTTTTAGGGATATGAATTTGGAATTCCAGTCTGAAACCCCCAAGGTACATAGGTACATAGCCTTTACACCAGGATTAATGACGCGTGTAAATTTTTATTAAGGTGTTTCATAAAATCAGAATATTTAAGAAATACAGATATAGTTAATGTTCAATATCAAAATCCAGAATATTTTATTCCAAGAGAAAAAATTTACTTACTAAAAATATCAAACATAATTTTAGATTGAAATGTCTGGTAAGTCAAATATGGAAGCGATTCCCCTTTAATTCACGAGAAGTACAGATTCTCAAATTAATAATTTTTCTGCACCCATCAAATATGTCATCAACTGAAAGCATAGGTCCTCTGGCTAGTAGGTTCCCAAATATAGTTAACGTTTGGTGAAATTCAATTCTGGAAAAACATAAGCAATATCAAAAAAGGGGACGATAGTCTCGCATACCCAGAGCTTGCCAGTTTTGTTCAAATTTTATTTACATTGCCACACCGTAGCGCAAGTGTGGAAAGATTATTTATCACATTCATTTAAACAAAACCAAATAGCGTAATCGACTGGGTGCTACGACAATAAGTGGAATTTTGCACAGCAAAAGACTAATGATGCCGAAGGTAAAAGTTGCTTTAATTTTCCAATTTCAAGGGACATTATAAAAAAACATAATAATAATATGTACACATAAGAATGTCATTTTTTTAAATTTGTTTATTGTAATGTAGTTTTAAATAAGTCATATTTAATTTCGTTTTTATTCTTACGTCTTTAAGCTTTGAAATATATTTGATGTTTCGTTACTTTTGTCTGATGGTTTTGTATTTGTAGCTTCTTTTAAGAGTCTGTTCAAATTTACGTTTTTGTTGTTTGTTTTAAGAGTGTTTTAAGAATCTTTTTACATAATAATATGTAGTCGAAAGAAAGTCATTCTGTTTTAAATTTGTTTAAGTTAATGTAGTTTTAAGTAAGTTACATTTAATTCCATGTTTATTGTTACGTTTTTAAGCTTTCAAATATATTTGGTGTTTTATTACCTTTGTCTGTTTATCTTCATGGTTTCTTTTAAGTTTTTCAGTGTACGTTTTTGTTGTATGTTTTTAAAAGTAGGGCCTTAAAAATTAAAAAAATATTTTATTATTTTATTATTTACCTCTATATATAAAAAAATATATAAATAAAAAATCTTGTGATTTTTTGTTCAATCTAGGGATTTTTTAGCAAAATTTCTAGTGTTTTTTATTTTTTGAACTTAGCAACATTAGTAAGATAGCACAAAATGACATCAGTAGTGACTCGGCTGTCGATGCGAACTGGAATCCAGTTCCGACTGTAGCTTTCTGCTTTCACTTTCGCAGTGGTCGCACATTGAGGTGTCTTACTTTGTTAATTTTAGTTGCATTTTTCGGAAGTAATCGCCAAGGCTTATAGTAGAAGACGTTTTGTTGAATTTTCTTGTCCTAGATTGGAACAAAAGTCATGCTTCTCGTCGTGGGATCCCACAGGCACGTTCTGTGATACGGAGAGTGTAAAATCCTTAGTTGAGAATCAAGGGGCGTGTTGCGGAATCTCGCGGCGACAGTTATCGGCATGTCGTAGTAAGTTGGTAGGACGTCGTCGTATGCTCGGATGCTTGCGGAATCGCAGGAGATTTTTCTCATCATGTGCGATGTCAGGGAAAATCCTTTCCAATACCTCCACATGGAATCCCCCGAAGCGTGTAAGCTTTGAGCATGAACATTAAAAGGACCTTATGCTTTTGAAAATGTTACTTACCGTTACTTGCTGATTTACAGACATATCACACGAACTCGAAAACCAAAAGAATCTGTTGCTACTTTAAAAAAGGCGTCAAGTAGGTTGACTCTGTCCTACTCATATTATCCACGCTACCACCGAAACACAATCTCGACGTAGTGCTGGTACTGGAAAGGTTTCTATCATTCTGTCTTGAGGGAAATGGATGTGTGATATATGATTAATAGTTACATAAGCTGGATACCGGGAATAGAAGCGTATAAATATACTAACGCCAAGCACTTGAGATATACCCTCCCTTTCTCCCTGCAATTCTTTAAATTACTCCGTGTAAAATATTCGTATGAGGGTCGATAACCTTCAGAGCCAAAAACAATAAGTGAATTCTTTACCTGCTCCCAGACCTTGAAGGTGGATTACATCTTTCCTCCGTGAAAGTGCATATACTCACGTTTATATCACTTCTGGATCTGGATCGGAGCAATTTAAATAGAAATTTCTCAACAAATGCTCAAGCTGCTAAAAACGGATGCATGAATCCCGAAATATTATTTTAATAAGTGTCTTTTACTTTTCACAGGATGTCTTCCAGTATTCAGTACGAAAACAACATTTTTTGGGCTAACTTGGCCGTAATATTATCCCCCCACCCATTAGCAGTAACGGCAACGTTTGTGATGACTAAACCGCCAGGCCAGCGCACCGTCAGCGCTTCCCTCCTTATCGGCATACATAGATTGCATTGGAAATATTTTATTTTACGCATAAATCTTATGGGAAAATTTCTGTGTGAAATATGTCTACTCGTAATAGTTGCGTAGAATTACCGGAAGTTTATTAATCTACTAACATCAAAAAGTTGAGACATTTTTCTGAAAATGATCAAGATCCTCTGAAATGCAAAGAAACGCCAAGAAACGAAGTTTGAGCGACTATTTTGTTTTTTGCCATTCACACCGCCGCTACTGGATCGATTTTCAAAAACTACAGACCTTTCTCGGCCTTGTTACATCGTGTGAAAATTTCATCAATGTCCAAGCGGTTCTTTCCAAGATGCAGACGGGCCAAGGATTAGCGGACAGACAGACTAACCGACATCAACGGAAATGAGTGGCATAGTTTCGTGATATATACTAAGTGACAAATAAATCCGAACACCCAGTTTAAATGGTTTTATTTTAATAAAATTTTGTATAAGTACTTAATGAAGCATAATAAGTAAATGATAAAAATTTCAAAATGATTACACTGCTTTAAAGCCCTTTGACCTTTAATAATGTGTGGATGCACCCTGATGTGCTACGCATTCTCCAACGCGCCTAGGCATGCTACTGATCAGGTGGTCAATGTCCTCCTGTGGTATCTCATTCCAGGCAACCACCAACTCCTCTCGAAGTGCTTCTAGAGTCTGAGGAGGACGTTGCAAATTGAGCAATCTCCTACCCATCATATCATACACACGCTCAATTGGGGATAAGTCGGGAGATCTTGGTGGCCATGGTAACAATGTGACATCATTATGTTGAAAGAAGTCTATTGTGACTATTGCAACATGTGGTCGGGCATTATCTTGTTGGAAAGTTGGATCTGCCAGGGTGTCAAGATAGGGTAAAAGATGGGGTTCTAGAACTTCGTGGATATAACGCTGCGCGTTCATGTTACCTCTGATGAAGATTAAAGGTGACCTGGAACCATAAGCTATAGCACCCCAAACCATAACTCCAACAGTGTGATGAACATGTCTTTCAACAAAAAACTGTTAATTCCTCCTTTCACCACGTCGCCTTCTAACCCTGGCACGACCATCGTGCATACCTAAACAAAATCGAGACTCGTCACTAAAGACAATACTGTTCCATTCCTGATCCCAGAGTGACCGTTGTCTGCACCACTCAAGGCGATTACGTCGGTGTTCTCGAGTTAAAGGGAGGACCCAGTGTGGCCGGTATGAAAACAAGCCAAAACTTCTCATTCGTCGGTAAACACTTCGCATGCCAATAGGTCTTCCGTGTTCTGCAAACCATTCATTTGCAATGGACCTGGTAGTGGAGAAACGGTCCCTTAAGGCCAATAATCTTAGGCGGCGATCTTCACGGTCTGTTGTTCTACGGCGGCGTCCAGTGCCCCTTGCTCTTTGCGTACGGCCTTCTCGAAGCCATGCCTGACAACACCTAACCACAGTGTCTACACCTCTTTGCACTCTAACTGCAATTGCCCGAAAAGAAAGTCCAGCTTCCCGAAGTCCCACTATACGGCCCCTATCAAACTCACTAAGTTGACGAAATCGGACAGGTCTCCGTACTCTAGGCATCGTAACCGATCGTAAAGGATGTCAAGAACCAACATCCGCCAACGTTGATTCTTTACTGCGGCTGAAATATTCATTTTTAGAGCGTTAGTGAATTAAAAAAAAGCAGTATAAAAACCGGAATGTCCAACTGATAAGGCTGAAAATTTTTTCACTTGTTATTTACAGTAAGATAAATCCATTCACCAACATTTATTAAAATAAAACCATTTAAACTGGATGTTCGGATTTATATGTCACTTAGTATACATATCCCATAACATCCAAAATGATAATGTTTTACTCTCGAAATTTTTCGCGATAACAGTACTTCTTCCGCAATTAGGCATGGGAACCAAAGGGTATTGCTTAATGATTTATAAATACTCAAAAGCGTGTTACGCAGATGTTAAACTCCGTTATAAAGTGTAAGACCCTTTCCACTTAAGTTTTCTCCCATACAGGGCTAGTAATGGAAAATTGATTAACACCGGAATGAAGCACTCCACGCTACACGTCAATATTAACACTTTTTGAGTCTTAAAATCATTATCCAAGTTTACGGAACACCAAGGCTTAGGCGCAAGCGGTAAACTACCAAACTGCAAAACCGCCCGAGATGCACACACTACGGTTAAAAACTGCGAAACTGATTTCGATTTTCACAATTTGGAGATGGATTTTAAGAGAGCTGTATGTGTTGTTGCTCTAATACTAAGAAGCAGAAAAAGAAAACATCATCAAAAATTTCGCAAATATTGGGTCCATCCACTGACTAGTCGAAGATTTAAGAAAGGTCACTTTCATAAAAATATCAAGATTTAAGGAAACATCCTGAGACATTTTTCAACTACTATCGGAACGGAATCGAGGACCAGCGGAAGTTCTGTGCTTTAAGCATAATGGCGTTTATATCAACGACATCCCATCCTAACACTTTCGATACTGTGTTGCTAGATCTACGATTACTGGGGAAAGGTAAATACGCAGAAAGCTCTGGTCCAACTGGATCTGCCTCCTGTGAAAGAACTTATATTTTCGTTCATATTACACGTGTCTAGCAACCCCCACCCTTACCCCCGTTTTCAATCAATTGTTTATTCTTATTATTTGGCTAACTCTTACTGGCGCTATGTCTGTTCTAACATGGTTCAGTGTTATCCACGTCGACCACTCAAAGTCAGGACCACTGGACATCTCTTGGATAAGCCGTTAGTTGGTGAGTGGACGCTTAGAGTCAAGTCCAGGAATCATCTACGGAATTTAAGTATCTTCGATTTGCATTGATATATTGATAGAACTGTCAAAAACCTAACTTATGTCAAGCCCACTTGTAGTATGCACATTCATCCTGAATACAGACTGAGATTCTAGAGATAAACAAATCGTAGAGCTGCTCCTTCTATCTAGTCTGAAATCGCTGGTCTTAACCGTCTGAAGATGAAGATTTTCTGCCAGGAACTCAATTATAAGTAGTCTGTAGTCTGTAAACCCTGTAATTACCTTGACTATTTCGGCATAGCAGCTGGTAGGTTCGCTGTTGTTGGTGGACGATGCCAGCGTGCTACTGCTCTGGAATCTGGCCCTTTCCAGTCTCATCCGTTCCATTTCTCGTTTTTTCGTTTCACTAAACTGCGTTGCTATGACGACCAAGCATAGGTTGATCATGAAGAACGAACCGATCTAGAAGAAGGAGGTGATAATGATACGAAAAGATCTTAAGTTCATTGTAGGGCTGAAAACAATAAAGTGCTTTGCTCGTTGGACCTTAAAGTTGTTGTAAAATCTGAGTTCACAAGGAACAATTAGGAAAGTTTTGGCTACCTTCCTTTGACGAGCTGTACGTCATTTTCACTTAAAGTTGACGTTGTTTAATTACTCTATCGAAAACCGATTGTTTGCACCTCTCATTATACAGTGCTTTTCTTTAATGTCCCCTCCCCTTTGATATTTTGAACGGATCAATTCAAAAAATTAAAACTTGAGGTAATGAAACTGATGCGTGGATACCATATTTTAGAGTAAAATTGACAGATGAAAATGTCAAGATGGCGGCTGGACACCATGTTGATAAAAATTATATGAAAACGGGGGTCTTGTGGCACATCATTTTGAAGCTCCTGACGAGTATTTGATAACCCTAGAATATAAAGTCAATACGTTTACCTACTACAAAATGGTGGTACATTTAATAATTACTTGAACACAAACCCACTAACATGCATATCTCTACAAATAATTGTAATGTCCTGCCGTATCCACAGCAACAGCGATAAAAACTTGTTTTGTTATTTTTTGTTGACAGTGACAAGAATATCAGTATGGAGACAAACATGATTGCACAGTTAAAAACATTCTTTCGTGTGAACTATTTTTAAAATGGTCAATTCTCGTCCATTGGAAGAAAAAATTGAAGCGATTTTTATTTATGGTGCGACGCGTAACTTTCATGAGACCGAAAGGATTTTAAATGATCGTTTCCCGAATCGTCCTGTCTGTAGTAAATATTTAAGGGAACTTGTATCTGAATTTACAGCTACTGGTAGTGTAAACAACAAAAAGCCCCCAGGTCATCCGACCATCCCGGAAGAAAAGCAAGTTCAAATAATTGGTGAGGTCATAGTAAATCCCCAACAGTCTACTTCCTTCATCGCGGATGTATGTGAGGTTTGTCCTTCTACTGTATGGAGACTTTTGAAAAAGAATAAGTATCAACCATACAAAATTCAAATCGTACATCAGCTAAATGAAGATGACCCTGATCGAAGAACAGAATTCTGCGAGACTATGATTTATCAAGTTAACTGTCAATGTATTCAGGTAATAATTAAATGTACCACCCTTTTGTAGTAGGTAAAGGTATTGACTCTAGGGATATAAAGTAGTCGTCAGGAGCTTCAAAATGATGTGCTGCAAGACCCCCGTTTTCATATAATTTTTCTACCTCAAGTTTTAATTTTTTGAATTGATCCGTTCAAAAAATCAAAAGGGAGGGGGACATTAAAAAAAGCACTGTATAAAATCATATGCATGAAATATCATGCTAAGTAGCAACGGTTTCGATATATTGAAAGTTCAGCTTTGACGTAAGTGTAGTACCGATATGTTCTGATGAACGCGACAAACGTTTTGGTATCACAATTTATTAGTAGATTAGAGACATAAAAATATTTGTGAAACCATTTCCTGCATGCAGTATCTCGTTAAGCACAAGGTATTTATTTGGATGAAGAGTTATGTCCAACACTCACCACAATAAGTAATACAAAATATATCCAATCCCAGAAGCTGTGCCCATCTTGCACGTAATACATTATTTCTGTCCATCCTTCAAGAGATATCACCTGAAAGTCGATAATTTTAGCATTTTCGTTCGTAGTTTAAAATAAAAGTATCATTTGCAATTGGCCTGTTCTGGCAACGAATGTTTGACGGTTTGAATCAATTAACTAAGTAAAATTGACGTAAACAGCTGAGCGATGCTCTTTTGACAATTCATATGGTCAAGTGAAAATGACGGTTGCAAACCGTTTGAATATCATTGCTAGAACATGCTAAAACTAAGAATACACTGGGAATTATGTTCTTCATAGGTAAGTAATAAACAGTATGAATGCATTAATACGACACACACACACACACATATATATATATATATATATATATATATATATATATATATATATATATATATAATAGAAAATATTGTAAGTTCTCCACTGTAAACCTCGCCATCCAGTTTTTGTATCAGCTTACTGCTCAAAAAGATGTTGTCTTAGCATTCATTCTAATTTCCAGTTTTAAAATAGTACCGTATGTTCCTTAATCTATCATGATTATATAATAAAAATCTCAAAGTTCGTACGAAGCGTAAGGACGAGTAAGACAGCAGTTATTTTTGACTTGACCTGGGTAATTTCAATTTTGGCTTACCATTGGAAACAAATGACTTACAAATTGATAATGCATTCTGACTTGGACTATAAAATCCTAGTACGCAACTCATTGAGAACTGATCATTTTCTATTTTACAGGGAGTTCTTGTTCCTCCATACATAGATAGTGATCATCTCACGATATTTGAACATGTGAATCTCATTTGAATGGAGGAACGAGGAATTCCGGTAACGGAGAGGTGCGGGTGCACAGAGCACCCACTTTCTTGTCCTGCCCCTGCAGTTGCAAGTATTTGGGTGCTACTTCCCTAGCGCAGCTAAGTACAGTTTTGAATCCTATGGCTTCAACGCCCTAGAGATCCAAAGCGCTGGCCTTCGGTATGACCTTGTCTGTCTTCATGTACCCCCGTCATATCCAGAAAGCATGGTATTTCAAAGCTTTATGACCACTCTGACTTTGAGAGATTTTCGGAGATGCTGTATCCTTTCAATGAGTGTTACCTCGAAATTAACTCCTTCACAAATTCTCCTCTTCGAGTGGGTACACCTAAGGCTGGTTCTAGAACAATAAGCCTGCTCTCTGAACCCTCTCTTGCGTATGCATCCGTCACATTATTTCCATATATCCTATTAGTCTAATCACATTAGACGAAAATACCCCTGGTTTGCGAAATAATTATAAAGTCTGGTTTTATTGGTGCAAGTTATTCAAGGGGGTATTTAAAACATGGACGCATAAAACGGGTACACCAATTTTTGTGGGAAAACTCTTTATTTGACAACAAAGAATGAGAAAACGTGTTTTTTTGGGATTCAATCGAAAGTGTTGACAGGAACGAAAAAACTCTTCGTCTAAGGTTTTTATGTATCTATGAGACCTGCAAAATGAGACCACATGTAAAAAGATCCGACTAATAGCAAAAAAGTTATGGCCGAAAACCGAGGCAAACTGCAGGTTTTGGCACTTGGTAATGCGACGATGGTTTCGTGCAGATAATTGAAATTCTTCAAATTCGTAGGATTCGTACTTCTAAATAAACACAACAAAATTGGAGTAGATTTGTCAAGTAGTCTTAAATTATTTCTAAATGTTTATCTCAAAACACCTGTTTTTCCGCCAACACTACTAGTATATTAAGCAATATACAGGGTTAGTTCAAAGGGCATTTTATAGCTAAATGCGCTAGTTTACCTTGCCGATATGAATCGCAAACTATTCCGGAAGATAAATCTTATTTTTATGCCAAAAGAGATGGGTTACGTTTTTTCTTCTAAACAAATTCAAACATTCTGTATTTGTGAGTAATTCTCAACAAAAGATGACAGACGCATCCGCTTTGTTTTAAAATGTTTAATAACGTATGTTTTTCGAATATGGTAGCCCATTTGTTCAATTACTCACAAATACGAAATGTTTGAATTTGTTTAGAAGAAAAGAACGTAACCTTTGTTTTTCGCATAAAGATAACATTTATCTTTTGGAATGGTTTGTGATTCATATCGGCAAGGTAAAAACGTGTATTTTGCTATTAAATGATCTTTGAACGAACCCGATATATTGCTCAGTAAGCTAGTAGTGAAGGCCGGAAGACAGGTGTTCTGGGATTAACAATAAAAAATTCTCAAAAAACTACTTGACCAATATACTCCAATTTTGTTGTGGTTATCAAGAAGTACGAGTCCTATGGATTTGAAGAATTTTAAATAGTTGCGTGAAATTATGGGCGCAATACCCACAAGTGCCGTAACATGCATTTTGCCTCGTTTTTCGGCCATAACATTTTTGCCATTAGTCGGATCTTTTCACGTGTGGTCTCATTTTATAGGTCTCATAAATAAATAAAAATCTTATATGATAAGTTTTTCTCTCAACACTTTTGATTGAATTCCAAAAAAACACGTTTTCTCATTCTTTTTTGTCAAATAAAGAGTTTTCCCCCCAAAAATTGGTGTACCCATTTTATGCGTCCATGTTGTAAATACCCCCTTGAACAACTTGCACCAATAAAACCAGCCTTTACAATTATTTCAGGGAAATTTGCTAATACGATTAGACTATATTGAGTTCCCGGGAAATAAATTACATTGCATACTTAGTGTCTTGATTGCTTCCTCATCGTCGGAACAAATTGTTATTCTCTACCGCGCAAAATAAAAGAACTACTTGCTACCGCCATTTTCAATTACCTCCACTATTGTGTCTAGCCTCTAACCAACGGCATTAACTTACCAAAAATATAGCAATCCATGCCAATCCAATATTATCGAAGGAAATGGTATCTTGAAACGGATTTTGATTGCGGTCCGAACACAACGAATAGTAGAAGTGCCAGTTGATGCAGTACGAATCATTGTTCCTATATTGAGGCAATTCCTTCTCTTCGACGGTGAGGTTGCATGCGTGGGAATTATTCTTGAATGGAGGAAGATTCGAACAGGAGTGCATTCCTGAGTAACTGCTTTTGCTGCAGATGTAGTCCGTTTCAACTGGCTTGTAGAAGTAACCTATTTCCCTGAAAGTTTGTTAGATAGTTTGTTAAATAGAGAAGATGTGTTGGGATTGGTTGAGGGGAGCGTTTTAGCGTTCCAGTTAAGAGCTAGAACTTCGTAATATGGCTCCTTAGATAGTAATTTGAAGTTCCCTTGGGGCAATTTAATAAGAGTGTAAGAGGCACTCTTATATATCCTAATGTAAACTATGTTCTATCGTCTCGTTTAATTTTTGAGACTTGCACTATTCTAAAAAGTTTTTTTTCAAAAAACGTAATACGTTGGTAGAAAAAATTGCTCTTCCATGATAAGTCTTTTATGTTTTGATATAAACAAGAGATTTGGAAATTTTAAAGGATGGGTGATTAGTTAACTATAACAGGAAACTAAATATTTTTTTATATTTCCAGCGCTAACCATATTTCTTTCGTATTTACGAATTTCGTATTAACTTTATAAAAATTAATCACTTGCGATGGACCTGCAAATTTTCCGCACCAAATATGATTTCTCAAATACAAAAAAAATCTTTTGATTTGCTTACATTTCAAAAAATAAATGACATGACAATGAACGTACTAGTACATACGTCTGCCGAGGAACATATGAGGGGCACTGCAGAGTCTTAATTAAGTGAAACAAACTACTCGAACTAATCAGTTAAAAATGCTATAGTCTATATATTATTGGATTTAGTGTTATTCTGAAAAAATACCATACATTTGTACATTATGTATATGATAATGCCAGATGCTTGGTCTCTTCAGATGAGTAGAAAACTAAAAAGCTAAGACTTTTGAAAAGTAAGTAACGAGCCAGATTATGAAGTTCTTATTGACTTTTTGGAGCGCCACCTGGGACTGTTGGCCAGAAATAACTGAAGTAGCATTCAGGTGCTTACAGAAACATATGGAGTAACTGGTGTCGTATATGCATGTTAAATCCAAAATTTCTTTCCTAAAAACTGCTTACGTTAATGTAGTCTACTGAATTTCATATACTAGTTCTTAAACTGATCAGACACCCGTTTGACTCCCTTCCGTCACAATATCCTTCTGAATTATTATATCAAGGATAGTCAACACGATAAATGTTTGCAAGAAAATCTATATATTATTTGACGAAAAACGTATACGTTCCATACGAAATAAATAAAATATGCATACAGAGACATGATATTAGTAATTCGGCAACAACGTCAACACATGTATTCTAGCCAACAGTTGATCAGAAAAAATATATATCAAGTCACGGATTTTTGACTATTTGGCTGCTTAATTTCACTGTTATAGTACTTTAACATGAAATAACATAGAAATTATTATGAAGGTTATACTCGTGTTTGTAGTAAAGTACTAAAAAGCTATTTATTATTCCATTACTGATTTCTTACATACGGGTGCATCGAAAGAAAACTAATCTGGAGGACCAGTTTATGATCAGCTTCGGAATAATTTATGGACATGTTTATTTGCAGTTATGCGACGAATGTTAGACTATCAGGGGCCAGCGTAGACCATACTGTAGACAATATTTCCACAGAAAATACCTGTCTTTTTTATTTCCTAGAAGTTGTTGTTTGTCGTGTTATTGCAAATAAACGTACAGGCCCTAGCTTCTCATTGTGAATTGGAAATTACACTCATAACAATACAGAACTATTATACTTCATTTAGAAAAAGTACTGTTTTCCTTGTCCAATAGAAATAGGTCAACGTGAAGTACAATTTATAGTCAAAATCCGTGCTTGTTGTTTTTGATGTACACACACATAAGGACACGCCATCACCATTTGGCCATATTCCTAATACAACATCGAGGAAAGTAGACAAATATGGCCAGTTATAGTAATTTAGTTATATACAGTAGAATATTCATGTAAAGATTATGGAAGAATGTTGTGTTCTTGTTTCTTAGTTCATAATGGCAGGTGTTTATTTGGATGTAACCGAGGTGTGAGAATGTAGTGGCTGTGATGTATCGAATAAGATCTAAGATGAGGCTGAATAGGGTCTGTTTGCTTTCCATTTTAGCGGCCATTTAACCACATCTCAGGTTGTTCCATGCTTATTAACAATAATCAGTATGGTACGGGTCTAGCCTTGGAGACAAACGGAAAGCAAACAGGTGGATGCGGTCTACTGAAAAACTCTTAGCAACGTAGGGCGCGAGATTGTGGCACTGCTACCTAGGAGATCCAAGGTAATTAGCAGAACAAAAGTAAGTGCAAAGTTCCTGAATACTTGAATATGTCCTTCTATTCTTAGAAATACCCATATCCACCGTTATTCAACATAACAATGGCACATGCGGTTTGTTATACTTATTTCAGCTGCATATTGGTTGATATTTTTTACAAATGATAACCCGTATAAATGAGCAGCCTATTAGCATTTACTCAAGAATATTTATTCAATGTATTATACAAAAGGTACTATAGATGAATACATTATCTTCCATTACAATGAATAGAGTTTTCCATAAATTGCTTTGTCAAGCCTGGCGAAACAGGCATTTTATCGAGTATATGAAGACATTGTGTCATTACCATAACTTACGCAACACAGAAAGTGCAGATCTATGTATGTAAATAGTAACACCGGTCTGGTCATTCGTTGCTGCTCTATCCGTGGTATGTGATTTGGTGTAGCTAGGTTATGATTTTCTAAGCTAATTGTGTAATAATTGCGGTAACATACTTTACATAATATACAGGGTAAGTTTTTAGCAAGGAGCGTACCGTTGGCTACAATTTTTGTGATTAAACTTTTTGAGATACCTTGCTAATAACTGAGTTATCGACCGAGCCTACACTAAAAACTCACCCTTTATGTGGAAATACCCCTGTTATTCTTATAAGTTTCAAAAATGCTAGACAAACCAGTGATATCCATTAACGTATTCTACATTAATCAGTGCCTACCTATTTCTAACAGATTCTCCTACCGCTTTTCTTTTCTTTGTATCAGCTTCAATGATTTTTACCGGCTAGACGAACATTTTTTGTGGTAAAAAAAAGTCGCTGTATATGTATATATTTTTACCGTTACAGATTGAACACATTACGATTCTTCTACTGTACCTGTACCTATAATGTGATTTAACCTTTTACAATGTTTTGTTATTGTAATGTCCTTATTTATTTTATAATTATTTTATAATAAGTATTTTTCTGGCATATTTGCTCAAACGCATATATGACCCTCAAATTGATATTGACAAGTCTTATATCATGTAACATGATCCAATAGGACAATAAACTATCTATCTATCTATCTATCTAGTTACGAGGGGCTTTCTGACATGCTAAAAAATGGTGAATTCGTAGTACGTTTGCATGCACTTTCGCCATTATTTGTCATAAGTAAGCGGCTCGCCAGCTTTGAAAGTGGATGACACCTAACATATTTATCTAATAATGAAGCGCTTACTGCAAGAATATTCCCCACCATTTGGATTTTTGTGGATTAAGCGCTGACTGCACAAATATTTCTTATCATTTGGCGTTTATGGGGATATGTGCTTGAAGTACTCGTATAGTGAATCGAGATGTCAGGTTCAGAGAACTGCTATGACTACTCACATTTCGGTTTATACGTGATAGGCACGCATATGGGCACGTACCTCAGGAAAAGCTTTTAAATATGGTATCAAAGCTTTTTTGCGGATAGCCCTGAACTCCTAAGACAATACTAATTATAATTAGTTAAGGATATATTTAAACATACTATTAAGCTTTATCCTCTACACTTTTTCTCGGCCCTCATTGATTTTCTCTGTATCTTGTAAAAAGTCTCGAACAACCGGTTAGAGTACGCTGTTTTCTAAATTGCGCAAATAAGAATCAAATCCAGTGACTCTCCAGCACGTTTTTCGAGGGTTTCGGGAAATCGGGTTAAGTGGTAGTTTAAACATCGCCTAATGGCGGCTCCTTTTTCGTTCACCGAACTCTGATACCGGCTGTTAAATGGAATCCTTGAAACAATTGGTCGGACATTTGTTGTTGCCAGTATGGGCAATATATTTTAACTGGAGCAGTCGGGAAGGCATGACCTAAGTCCGACTTACTGCGACAGACATAGTAGATATGAATCTGTAGGATTTGGTTTACACACCGTGATAAAGTTTGTCCGCATGTTGGTATCTTTTCCTTAGGATGGTCTAAAATTAGTTTGGTTTGGGTCAAAATCGATCTGTTGAAAAAACAGCATTGCGGATTATTAACAGAAATACTGTAGTGCTTATTAGTTGCTAGATCAGCAGCGAATCTGTCCTAATTATTAAGAAAGTTGTAGATCGGTCCATTACCAATAAAATTGGCCATATAACACTACATCCAAAGGTCAACCAATGTTGAGATATCAATTTCACTTCCAAGATTTTTATAAAAAGGCCATATCGCTGGAATTATCCGTCCGTAATGACCTCATCTACAACGTCCTTAGATCCTGCACGACTTCCTTGAAACCCTGTATATCTAAAGAAATCCTTTGTGTAATTTTTTGGTTTCCTTTTTGTTGTGCGAAAAGGTTTACTGTTTTTGAATCGTCCTCCATAAGTTCAAAAAATGATTAATTTCGACCTACACCACTACTAAAGTTACTAGCTGTTTCTTTCCTATAAGTCTTTGTCAACATGAATCAGAATTTGCAAAAGACAAAACGTGATATCTACAAATTAAACAGTCCAAGCAGGCTTGCCTTAAAATGTTAAAGGTATGCGCCGCTTTTGTAACATTTCAGTAATTCAAGCAAATTCGCAGAACTTTTATGGTTCTCGCAACTTCTATCTTTTCTTTACGACTAATTCCGCCCAATCTGCATAAAACCTGCTCTCGCTATGCCTCGGTAGGTACGCATCCGTTCACAGAAATAACTACCGAAGAATGCAAATCCTCTGTTACAGCTTTAGGTACAACTGCTGATGCTGTTTCGCAATAACGAGAAGTTGGTAGTTTTTTTGGATTTTATCACCGGACAGCCTTACTGTTGTTTACTATAGAATTCACTTATTAGAATTATGAAAATTTTTATTGATTGATAACTCGGAATAAGTAA